GGCCTGGGCGGGAGTCGACCCGGGATTTGAACCCGGCGCCGCGCGAGTGGTAAGCGCGCCACTTGTCACTACACCACCTCCGCCTCGACCATGTGTGTAGATAGGGAAAAGTCGGGTGTTAGCTGAGCACTGAAACATACGAAATGATGCGTCCACCATGTATTCTCTGCGTGATGTGAACATTTCTGCACTGATGTCAAAGCTGCTCGCTCACAGAGGCAGGGCCATTTCCGTGAATTTTGTCCCCCGACATGCTGCACCACTGTGTGACAGTGAAACTAAATGTGAAAAAAATTGCTGGAATTAAATTCGAAAATGACAAGCAGTTCTTACTGAGAGTTTTCAGGGCAGCACATCTGTTAGCAGCTGGTATAGCAACACTCATTAATAGAATGGAACGTCCATTGGTGACGGTTGGAATTGACGGCTCAGTCTACCGATTTCATCCAAAATTTCCACAACTGCTCGACGACAAAATAGCTGAACTCATAGATGAGAATCTAAGGGTAAAAGATTCTATGCACTTCCTTTCAAAGGCGTAAGGCACAACAATTGGGTTCCAGTCTCAAATGGTGGCAGAGGTGTTATGTAGTGGGGAAAATGGTGAAAGAAACAAAGTGGAACGTTTGAAAACCTGCAGAAAAAATCCTTTGTCCTACACTACTTTGAAATCCATGCTGGACGAGTTTTCCGTTGGCATTAAACCATTAATCGCTACGGTAGATACGGCTGCATGCATGTACGCATATATCTATAGTGTAGTTCGTTGCGGATGATTGGGCGTGTCAGGCGGGATGAGTTTGGCGCGGTGCCAAACCCGTTCTCCACCAGTTGTTAAAGCGAGCAAATGATATGACTGTATCATATCGTTCGTATTACTCGTTTTCTACCACTTTTTGTCGCATGCGCGCTTCAACAAGAAGGCAGAGAACGGCTTTGACAGGCTGTCACTACTGCCTGACACGCCCAACCATCAACCTGACGATGCCAACGGCAATTCGTCCAGAATCGCTTTCTGAGCCGTGTAGAACAAAGCCCTTTTTGTGGGCACCCGAATTTACGTTCGCTTAATTTCGCCATTTCACCACTGTATAGCATCCCTGCTATTATTTTATACCGAATACTGAGTCATCGTACCCCGTGCCTTTAATCTTGGGTAGTTGAGTAGTTGTTGTTATGGAACAACTACAAATGATGCTGAAAAACAGCAGACATCGATGGCCGGCGGTGTGATAGGGAGACCAACGTGAAGAAACGAAAGCCTCACTGAGAGAGACTCTTGGAGTGGTCCCCTCTACACACATGATTTCCACGCAAACCCAGTAATCATTGCTTAGCCGCTAGAGAAGCCTCCATAATAATAAGTGAGCAACATACTCACCTCCATAATAATAAGTGAGCAACATACCGAAATCATGTATTCAAACTTCCGAACTGCAACGAAAAGGAAGACTCTGATGACCTCATGCAGAGCAGCATACGATTCAAGCATAAAGGACCACATTCCGGCCTGGAATCCAAGAAATTTCGGGGCTGATAGATTGGGACTTCAGTCCATGCGGTCTTGCTGGATAACCGAAGTGTTTCTGGGTGCACTATTCCACATGTGGTTATTTGTTTTCGTTTCAGTATAAACTGATGTTGTCCGAAGATGGTACTGGTATTGGTGCAGCGGTCGTTGCAGCTGTGGCGACCCGAATTTAGAGCAAAGCAAGACGAAGAATGGGCAACAAAAGAGCCAGAGAGAACCGGAACAAGAAAACAATACCGATAACGAGTAGAATACAGTAGTTAAACATAGATCGAGAGCCTCGACATAATCCTAAATAAATGCGTTATTGTTGCTTTTAGTATTGATTCATACTTGAAGAGCCCCATACATCAGTTCTCATTATTTTGCCATTCTTTCTCTTGACATAGTAACCTTGACCATAATATTGGCGCATAGGTGAATTCCTGGGGGAATACAATCTATGTTTAGCATGCAGTGATAACGGCAGACAACTGGAAAATCTTTATTATATTAGGTTGGAGAGAAAGTCCTGCGA